GAAAGTAAAGTGTAACCGTGTAACCTTAATTTTCATACAAAGTTTTTCCTGTTTACCAGATCACATGCAGTGCTGGAAATAAAAGTAAAAAGGAAACAGAGAAACAAGTATCGTAATCAAGTAATGCGAGGAAAACTCGCACTTGTGGATCTTGCTGGTAGCGAACGAGCTTCGGAAACAAACAGTGGAGGCCAAAAGTTAAGGGATGGAGCAAATATTAACCGATCACTTCTTGCTTTAGCAAACTGCATAAATGCACTTGGGAAACAGAAAAAGAAGGGTCTTGCTTATGTTCCTTACCGTAATAGGTATATGATTGTAATTTTTATCCTGAAGTCCTCCCTGCTGCTGTAGTTAGCTTCCTGCTACTGTAGTTAATGTTATTAGTTTTGCAGCAAATTGACACGAATACTTAAAGATGGTTTGAGTGGCAATTCTCAAACTATCATGGTTGCTACTGTAACCCCTTTGGACAGTCAATATCATCACACTGTGAATACCTTGAAATATGCTGATCGAGCAAAGGAGATAAAGACACACATCCAGGTGAGAGCCAAATATGCATGAAGGCATTCAATTTGGATCATCAAAACATGATTAAGTAGTAGTCCATTTCGACATTGAAGACAATTAATATTCAGTTTTCATTCTGAGATTGATTAATCTACTAATCCGTCATGATCTCAATTGTAGTACGCTATTAAGAAATTAAGAACTTCAAAAAGGCATTGTGGTTTAGCTTTCCACTTATGTTGCATACTAGCATGTGGTTCTTTGTTGAGTGATTTGTCTATGCTGCATATTGCCTTTGTCGAACTACCAATTTTGTCTTCATATGGGTTTCTTCTATGCACGAATTTTTCGGATTTGCAGAAAATTTCTTTTCTTGTAATCATGTATCACTGGCTAGACTTGTACTTTTATATATGCACTGAAATTCTAAGAACAATCATGTTTAATTCACAGAAAAACATTGGCACTATTGATACCCATGTATCAGACTACCAACAAATGATTGACAGTCTTCAGGTAAGTGGTTGAATTGGTTTCATCTATAAGATTTTATTTACAACTTTTATTTTCTTGGAAGATAACCTATTTCGGACTGCAGATTGAGGTTTGTCAATTGAGAGAAGAACTAGCTGAAAAGGAATCACAGCTAAGTGTCAAACCTGTTGAAAAGGCTGCAGACGATGAACTTTCGTGGTTGAATATTTTGAGCCATGAAACCAGTGAAAATGTTCAGGAAAGGATAAACTTACAGAAGGCATCATTTGAGCTTGAGGAAACCAATCTTCGTAACCGGATTGAACTCCAACATCTTGATGATGCTATAGCAAAACAACAGGTTAGAAGGTCCCGCATACAATGCAGTTTTATTGAAAAGAGTTTGCATTCTGCACATTGTCTTGTAGCGCCCACAATTCATCTCAATTAAATTAGTTCAGATTTTTTGCTCAGAATAAAAGCCATGACATTCCCGAGAAACGACTTTGTTATGGACTATAATTCCTTTTCGTTCCCACTTTTCTTGTTTTGTAAAGAGGTTTTGTAGCTTCAACCAGATGTGGAGATGAAATAATGTTAACTTTCTTGCATTTATTTACTTTATTGGGGAACTGAATATGATATGATTATTGAAAATTTTTGAGATAAATTTTTTCTGATAATATAAACTAATTCTTGAGTACCTTTACTGTGTTACAGGCTATTGGAAACGATGGTGAAATTTTAGATGCCATGCGAACGAGGCGACAAGTTATTTTGGATAACATCCGGGACAATGATGAAGCTGGTGTTAATTACCATATGGTAATATCTCAGCTGTAATCAAACTCACAAAAAAAAAAATACAACTTTTATCAGCTTTTGATTTTATTGCCAAGTTGCCAACTCTACTTTTTGTAGGAAATCGAAGCAAATGAGAAGCATCGATGCAATCTTCAAAATATGATTGAGGAGGCCATTGGTAACAATGGAAATAAAACGTACTTGCGTATTCTTAGTCAATACAGGCTCTTGGTGAGTTGATTAAACCCAGACTGAATATACATATACTGGACAAAATAAATTAGGAAATGACTGTTTTGAGTTGAATATGCATTTATTTGAAACTCTTGACCAAAAAAAACTTGACCAAGATCATTGACATATATTTTATGTTCTCTCGAGAAAAATGCTTATCTAATGCCAATGACAGAAGTTTTCATAAGATATTACCATATTTAATATATTCTACAGCTCAATTTCTTATTTTTGCATATTTGTGGTAAACTTTCTGTTAGGCGTAACAGTTTTACTTCGATTAATATAGGGAATGGCGAATACTGAGCTTCAGTTTGAAATGGCAATGAGGGATCAAGTGATTAACAACCAACGGGAAGCACTGCTAAACATGTGGGACTTGCTTATGGGGTTAGGACTTGATGAGAGACAGATCATGGACCTTGCATCTAAAAAGGGAATAACAATAGAAGAAGACTCTACAATGACACCCCATCTGGGGCTTTCTGCTAAGGAGCAATCACCAGATTTGGAATCTGGAAAATATTCTTCTTTTTATCCTTGTCGTGGCATGGGGCATATGTATTCAAGATCGTCTTCCACCTTTCAGCACTCTCAAGAGTTAGGTCCGAGATCATTGCCCCGGGGGCATTTGGATTTGACTGAGTCTTTTTGCAGAGAGGAACACCACAGTTCGTATTACTTACTGTCACATGATCAGTTTCCTTCAGCCTGTATGAGTATGAGGACAAGTAGTGAGCACTGGGTTGGTGGAAGGTCAAGTCCGTGGTTTGAAACTATCAATAAACATCCTCAAGATTTGCAAAAATCATATCCAGTGACAGAGAACTCAAGCTTCAGCAGATGGTAAAATCTGTATACCAGCGTCTTCTTTCGGTGTTGATTTTACCAAGCAGAACAAGGTATTTGCAATGATTGTACTGGTGGAGTGCTAGTTTTGAGGCTACATCTGTACAGCGGTCCTCCTGATGTAACGAGTAGCAGCCAAGTAGATTTATATGTAGGCCACAGTGGTACAATTCAAGGTACGCGTATAACCCATTCAACTGCTGAGATTTATCCCACGTTCTGTACAGGGCCAATTTCTTTTGGTTCCAGATAACCCTGATGCACAGGCCTCCCTTCTAATCTTCGGTAGCATTGTTGTAATTAGTTTTTACCCCTTCTCTAACCTTATCGTTCTTTGTTCGCTATCTTGTTCCCCGCATGTAAGTGTGTTGTAGTGTTACGGTCTCTGTGAGGTTAACTTGGCAAGTAGTTACTGACTGTATGCAAAGAGGGGGGTTTTTGGATAGGAGGAAGAAGAGAAATGCAAGGGGTTGGTTAAAAGAGGTACGCCTAGTCTTCTGAAACTCCGCCTCGCGGAATATAGTGCTAGTGCTGTGTACATATGTTATCAAACTTATTACAACTTTCCTGTGTGTTAATTGTTTCATTTCTTTGAAGTTGTAAGTATTTGTCTCTTTCGCTTCTAGCACCAACCTAGAACTAAAAGAACACAGCAACAAATTCTTAAACAAAAGCAAGGCAAAAAAACGAGTTTATAACTCAAATTTCAATATGATAATTCAAATAACTTTCACATGTGCTCTTTTGTTATTTGTTGTAGAAAATTTCGAGTTTATAGTAACGATACAAAATTAACAATATAATAAACAAACTTTGGCGGCACAACTATTCAAATTGATGATGTCGCGATCGTATAATTGATAACATACGAAAAACATGATCATTATGAACAATTTTTTCCAACATAAAATGTGTAAAAGTATTTACATATCTTCACTTTTATAAGTAAAGCTGTTTAATTTCTTATTCTTATAATGAGTTGTTCATTTATTTTATTCATTCAGATAACTAATTGATTTTCAATTCGAGTAACTTTTTTTAATAGTGCTAATCTTCAAATACAACTGAAAAAAAATTAAACGGTTTGAAGATGAAACCACACACATATACACTGTAAAAATATATTTAATATATATATGGAAGAGTGAAGTTTGAGAGAGACGTGAAAAACAGAGAGAAAGAACATGAAATAGGTTTAAATTTTTATTCTTTAAAATTTAAAAATGAGAGAAATGCTATGATGACATGTGAATGAGCAAAGAAGAAAAAACAACAAAATTTGTCTTTTGCGAAATTACATTACAGCTCATAATTTTATTTCGTAATAGAAGATGAAATTGTTTTTTCAGCCCTCTTTGTTTGTTAAGAGAGTTTTGTTAATAGATAGTTTACAAATTTGCATTCCCTTTCGCCCTTAGAACATATTTAAAAGAAATGTCAAATTTTAAAAATCAAAATGATATTTGATGGCTTATATGGCAATTTGACATTTTGTACAATTTTTTATTTTTATTTATTTTTTCTTAAAAAAGGGGACGATTGGTGTCAAGCCACAATTATCCACCTCTTCAGGGTCCAAAGAGGCTATGGAGAATTTCACCATAACCTGGCCACAATCAAGTAAACTTACTAGCTCAAAGCATCTAGAACCTCCAAATATATTAAATACTAAGATAATGCTAGAGAGACTAAATTCATAAACATATACTTAAAGTACTACTTACAATTAGTCTTGGGAAACGGATCTTCTTCGGATCCATATATATTAAGCCTGCTGAGCATGCGATTCCGGCTGGTGAAATTTGATCCAAAGGTTACAATTATTATAACTTTTAGAAGGTCTTCTATTTGTAATTATTGGATCAAATTTCAACGATTTAGATCGCTTGCTCAGCATGCTCAATTTTATTGAATCCGAAGGGAATCCGGTTCCTTACCCTTGGATTTGTAATTCACTGTAGGAAAAGGACCCGTAACTCACTCTTGACAGATTTGATGACTTGGAGAAAATTCCAAAATGTAAAAGTATTTAAAAAGCTAAACTTCCAAGAGGGGTTGATCAAAAGGACAAAATATAATAAATTAAAGAGAATAAAAACGGGTGGCACGCCATCAGACTTGTTTAGAAGAAAGTTTTACCTTTGACAGGAACCATCCGCATGAGCACTTGAGCTATATATATGCTGTTATCCCTCCGAAAATCCTAAAACCCCGGAAAACCCAAACCCCCCAAAATCAGCAACCTAAACCAAATCAAATCGCCAATGTCGAAGGAACCATCCAAGACCTTCAAACCCTACACCCTCTTCGAAACCTTAACGGGCCACAAGAGCGCCATCTCCGGTGTCAAATTCTCCTCCGACGGCCGCCTCCTCGGTTCCGCTTCCGCCGACAAGACCATCCGCACCTACTCCCTTTCCTTCCCCGATGACTCCTCCACTCCCACCATCTCCGCCGCCCAGACCTTCGAAGGCCACTCCCAGGGCGTCTCCGATCTCGCCTTCTCCGCCGACTCTCGCTTCATGGTCTCCGCCTCCGACGACAAGACCCTCCGCCTCTGGGACGTCGCCACCGGCCAAACCATCAAGACCCTCCATGGCCACACCAACTACGTCTTCTGCGCCAACTTCAACCCTCAGTCCAATATGGTCGTCTCCGGTTCCTTCGACGAAACGGTGCGTATTTGGGATGTCAAGACCGGGAAATGCTTGAAGGTTTTGCCGGCTCACTCCGACCCTGTCACCGCCGTTGATTTCAATCGGGATGGCTCGGTTATCGTTTCGAGCAGCTACGATGGGTTGTGCAGGACCTGGGATGCCTCCACTGGCCACTGCACCAAGACATTGATTGACGATGAGAATCCTCCGGTTTCGTTTGTTAAGTTTGCGCCTAATGGAAAGTACATTCTTGTTGGCACTTTGGATGACACTCTGGTAAAATCCCAATCCCCATTTCTTCTTGTTTTTCGTAATTTATGATTATCGTGTTTAATTTGAATGGCTTTGTTTGAATTCGCTATCGATGCTCATTGAGAGCTTCAAAATTCATGGTGGTGGAGGCTAAATACTGATTAGAACTCTGTTAATTGGGTAGTGGAAAGTAGACGTTAGGAGGGGACTCATGACAAAATATTAATTCCGTCCTACTTGTTCTTACTCAAGTTTCCAACCTTTTCGTATGATGTTATTTATTTATAGGTGAAATGCCTGATAATTGGTTCTGAAACATCTGAACTAGTTCTTTCGGCCAGGTTTATCTGTTGATGCCACATTTGACGCATTGCTTTCAGCATCCGACAGATCGGGCTTTACTGCTTTTTGCGTGCTTTTTTTAACAATGCAGCTTGAACTAGATTGTAGGTTCAATAAATTTTCCTTGGAAAACTGATTTAGGGCATATGGGTATTTCCTGTGGTGAATTGGTAATGCTCCCTCTTTTTTTGACATTCTTCGCCACATTTCTGGTACTTTTTGGTTTTCTGTCCATTTCCTTTTGCAATTTTTGGTATGTTCCCTGTGCATGATTTGAACACAAACAAGTGGGTTTATCCTTTGGTTATGATGTTGTATGCATGAAAGTACAATAGGGAGAACAATTGACTATGTTAAATCAATTTGATAGACTGGAACGGTTATTATTACATGCACATTCACCAACCTTTTTACTTTTTAGAGAGGAAGCGAGGAAGGGGGAGGCAAATATTCCCGTCTCAAGTCATCTCTTTCTTCTCTACCCTTCTACTTTTTCGAGAGGGAGTGGGGAAGGGAGAGGCAAATATTCCCATCTCATGTCATCTCTTTCTTCTCTACCCTTCCGGGCCTTCCCTCTCTCCTATATCTTCATTTTCTTTTATGAAACAAAAAAATAAAGAAGAAAAACGTGAGCAACTGAGCACTATATTCATTTTCCGGAAGTAATTATTGCATGCAGCTGATCTGGAATTTCTATCTTGTGTCTGCAGAGGCTCTGGAACTTTTCAACTGGGAAATGTCTAAAGACTTACACCGGTCACAAGAGCTCGAGATTCTGCATTTCTTCTGCATTTTCTGTGACAAATGGGATATACATTGTAAGTGGTTCTGAAGATAATTGTTTGTACTTGTGGGAATTGCAAAGCAGGAAGGTAGTTCAGAAATTGGAAGGTCACATTGACACCGTTATATCAGTATCATGTCACCCAACTAAGAACATAATTGCTTCTGGTGCACTTGGGAATGACAAGACAGTGAAGATCTGGACTCAGGAGAACTGATTCATTTCGGTTGTTGTAAATGATTGCATCTGTGGCACAGAGATTTGGACTTGAGGAGGGAGACTGATTTGATGTATTACAAAGTTTGTCTGATTCCCCATTTTGCTCGACTCTTACATTCTTAACCTTTTTTAGTAGTTATCTGATTGTATTTTAGAACTTTGCTTCTTAGATATCAGTTTAAGGTCAATTCTCTTAATTATAATTTAGGCATGTCTTGTAGTTGGTTGTTGTCTGGAGGACAAAAAGCTTTGTAACTCAAAACGACTCTCCTTCAATGCAGTCAGTGATGTTTCAAAATTGTTCATGTATGGTTTATCAGGGCTGGGAGAAATTGTGAAGCAGAGTATATACTCCAAGTCGTTGTGGTAAACAGAGATCAAAGTTTGGTCCAGACTCTTTTTGTGAGATGTCCAGGGTGTGCTGAATCTGAAAACTGTTGACGTAAGAGTGGTCTGCTTGGTGCTTGTGGACAGACAGAGATGTGTGGTATGAAAATACATGTTGGTTTCTCAATGCAGGTTTGTGAGCTTTTCTCCGAACTCTGAAAATGTCTCCGTCATCTTTAATGGTCTGATTTATATGTTCTTTAGTGTTGCATGTTAGCGCATGTTGCATATTGTACAGTAGTTTTCGGTTAATAGATGTCTGTTTGAATGCTATGTGGTGAACAGCATTGAATTGATTGATTAGCTTGATGCAAGTCCTGAATGTCTTGAGCAGCATCAACGTGGTTCCTTCCGATTTATTGATCTTCATTTTTGTCATGATAATGGTGGAAGATTGAACACTTTGTCGCGGACAGCGTTTCTGCTATAGTGCTGCATTGTCTCTATAATCATGCAGGGTCCAAAGACCTGGGGATATAGTAATGTCTTTTTAAAATGCGATCCTTTCTGTTGATCTTCTAACTCATGGGACACCGGCCATTTCTTTGTTTTTCGATCAATACGGCATTTTTGTGGCCAACACACTTTTTCTTGTGTTTTCGGTGACTTTTCTTTCTTAACGGAGCTCTGTACCAGAAGGCAAAAAGGAAGAGTGCAGAACGGAAGTGCGTTTAAGTAAGCATGTTGTTCAGCTACTTGTTCCCAAAAACATAAACAGATTAAACTTTATGAATTTACCAAACGATCCTCCGAACATGCCTACGCATCTTCAGTATATGGGTGATACACACAGATGCGGATCCATAGAAGGACAAGGTGGTCCCAAAGATCCTCTGGAGGCCGGAAAACACCTATGGAGGTTCTTCAGGGACCCTCCAAATGTTTCGATGGAGAGTCCGACCTACGTCTAGGGTTATATACGGGTTCCGTCCAACACTCTGTTTATTTTGTTAGACGACACATAGTTAGTTAAGTCAAAATTCGGGTGCATGATGCATCCATCGAGGAGACGTGAGGTTGCATAACCTTTGCCGCAAGGAAGAAGGCCCATGTTGACACTCTTGTTTTCTTGGTTCTTCCTCGTTGTTTCTTACTTCATCTTATTAATACTAGCATTTGCTTACACACTTTGTGTGTATGAACATATTATTTTAGAAAATGAGGAGAGGGGGAGAGAGATAACGTGGAGGTTTTTGTTTTCGGTATTTTTTATTTTTTTTTTAAATATTGGAGGTATTTTAACATCACCTGTAGGCGATGTTTTAATAAAAAACTGTAAAATTTGGACTTGTGAAATTTCATTATTGCCCATCATTTTTTTTTTTTGTGTGATAGAAAATTAAGTAGTTTTTTCATAATCTTTTAGTTGACAAAGAGGATTTCATTAATTAATAGAGATTAAATGGAATGGACCGTTTCACATAACATGACCCTCACCTAATATGGGCTAGCATTCCCAATGGACTTAAAAGTGATAAAGCCCAAGAAGTTGACCTTTTATTTAGATAAGATAATAGAGAAAATTTCTTATCATTATTTTAAGAACAACCAGTTTTATTTTCTTTCTCCATAAAGTATAGTAAAGCTTTATGACTTGGCTAAAAAAGACATTTAGGTAGACTTTGTAATAGGTAATGTTGTTTTTACCATGATTTATAAATAAAGAGTGTAATTTTTTAATTTCTCAATGTTCTTTTCGTCCAATTTTTTTTTAACTTTTTACATTAGGATCTCCGATGTCAAAATTCTGAATCAGCTACTGTATACACACATGCAATTGGGAAGGATACATTCATTGAATTCATGGCACACTGACACTGAGCTTTTGCACATGCATTTGGGAGATTAATGAATCATGACATACTATGTATTTGATTTGTTGTTCATGCTTATTTTTATATATTGATTCTTCTGCCTTTTGATTTTTATACATTGATTCTTGGGAACTTTAACGAAAAGCTCCCGGTACTGTTTACTTTAACGAAAAACCACATTTTTACACTAAAAAGTCAATCTTGGTACTATTCACTTTACCCTTTATTTTGTCCTTATCATTAAAACTCAAAGTTTTCAAACCTTTTTCATTAGTTTTCCTTTGATTCTTATGTCATTTGATTTTATTGATTGATGATACACTTAACTTAATGGATCAGTATGCTTACTGCCATGAAATTGTGCACAAAGATTCTTAAATTATGCCATAAATTTCGCTCCATTGTGCTTTTGTTTTTGGATTCAATATAAAAAGGGAAATTTGAAACATGTGACTGAATAAGAGCTAGTTGGCACTAGTACTACATTTTAATCGTTTTTTTTCTTCTACTTATAAGTAAGAGATTTTAGCTCAAAATTACAATACTGGCGGATAAAAAAATATTAAGAGTTGGTTTGTAACTCTACTACAATATTGTTTTGAGGAGCTTCCAGTGTAGTAACTAAAGAGAGGCTTATTATTGTTCAATATATATTTTCTCAGTTATAGTCATAGTCATATAGCTCAATTTCATATAGGAAAGTGATTTCCGTGCATTTTTTAAATCTTGTATTGTATAAATCACAGTAAAATTAAGTTAGAAATAAAGAGAGTATTCGAGAAGTAGAAAGACAAGTGTGCATAAATCGCTTCACATTACAAATATATGTATTAGGTTTGTGATAATGCGAGACATTTACTTGTTGTACCAACTGAGAGTTGTATACACATCAAACTGTAATACATCTTAGAAAGAATAACTACTCATCTCAAAAACTCATTTATAGAGAAAAAGAATGACTACAATTTTAAATGATTACAAATGACTACTTATTCACAGTGGAGAATGAATGTTATTTATATGGGAACCTAGATTTTTGGTTTATAAATGTGAACCCTTTCGCATTAATTAGCAGTTTCGAATCCTAAAAGCTATCTAATATATTTCCTAATTTCAAATACATGATTTCAACGGATAGTTTGTTACAGCAACGGCTCCATTATTTTCAACGGATAGAACTTTTTTTTTGTTATTCTTTTTTTTCTTCACATATAAATTAAGGCTAACGCTAGAGACACTAAATTTGTAAATAAGACTTTGTAAACTAAATGACATGGAAGTTGATGATTGAATTATTACTTAACCATTAATAAACGTGCTTATTTTTATTGGTGACACATCATTTAGTTTGCAAATTTTATCTACAAATTTAGTCTCCCTAGCATCACCCTTAATATAAATATGACATAATTTTTCTTAAAGAACGTGTATCATTCACAAACTTCTCAATTTTTGTTTCATTTGCCAAATTTGTTATTTGTAACTATTTTTTTTTTGTCTATTTCATCCTTTTCCACCAATGGTGGAAAAATCACAAAAAGACACAAATTACTCAATTGAGGAAGATGTAGCACTACGTCGAGCATGGATTGTGATTAGTGAAGATCCAATTGTTGGGAAAAATCAAGCTGGGACAACAATATTACTTTGTGGCGTTGTTTAAGAAAAAAATGTTGTACTTTGTGTTTAATTTTTTTAGGTTGAAAAGTTTATAAAAAAAAAAGTGATGAAATTTAACATTGGTAGTTTAGACATAAACCAAAAACATAAATAAACCAATGGATGAGATTGAGATGAGATAACCTAATCCAACGGTGCATAAGTGATGCAATCTAACTTTGTTAGAATTTGGATTTTGTTTTATGTTGAAAAGCTCATAATTTTTTTTTTTAAGATAACACGTCTAAAATCGACTTAAGAAAAGTTAAAACAAAAATAAATTTAACGTGTAATCAAATTACTACATAAAGAAATATATAGCCCTTGAGTCCAAAAGATATATAGACCTTCATTGAAAAGATTTTTTTTTAGAGTCTTCAAGATTCATCGAAACTTTAAAATGAGTTTTATTTTTTTATTTTTATTTTTTTAATACATCGATATTTTTACACTTAAGGAAAGGGGAATTTGGCTAAACCACACAATAGACAGCCTAATTTGATATCAAATTCTCTATTCACGAGATTCGAACATAAGACCTCCTATTTCTAAACGAAGAGGAATACCACCAAATTATAATACTGAATAACAACTTTAAAATGAGTTATATCTACCATTTTTTCAGCATCATATAAAACCTGTCATTGGGATGCTCTAAGAATCAAGGGGCCACAGTAACCTTAACATATAAGGCACATCCCTAGTCGTGTAGTATGCATGTAGGGTTAGGTCGATTGAAGGACACCCCAAGTAACCCAGCAACACAGCAAAGTTGCCACCAAAGGATAAGGGTGATGGTGGGCTCTCAGACACCTAATAAAACACCCAACAGGATGCTCTCCGGATCTTTCGGTGAGAATCGTAGCTATTTGTAAATTTTATCTGTTCATCGTATATTATGCGATCAGTTTTTGTTAAAATATTATTTTTTTTAAATAAAAATATTTAAAATAATTTTTAACAGCACGATATACGATGAATGAACACGATTTATGAATCTCGGAAACCCTCATAAAGAAAATCTGACGAGAATCTTGACCCATAAAACACGTTGGCCAAAAATGTAATGCCAAATGGTCATGCACCCAGATAACGACAAATCCGTACTTGCTTCGATCTCCTGCATTTGTTTAATGGATTTGCCAGGTTGCCTGGCATTTCTTCAACGTCGACATGGAACCCGAAAAAAGAACGAGGATCTTTTTCAGATCATTTTTGTGGGAATTCTAGAAAATTTTAAATTGTAAACGTTTATCGTATATTGTATGAACATAAATCATTTTAAATATTTTTATTTAAAATTAAATATGAATAGTACATAACGAAAACTAATCGTACGATGTACGATAAACAGACAAGATTCAAGAATTCTCAGAATCCTCAAAAAAAGAATCCGAATAAGACCGTCATTCTTGAAAAAATGATGAAAATAAATGGACAAATGGCATGTAGCCTTGTAGGTAGCTTAATTCTCCCATTCGTGGGAAGTAGAGCTATTAATAATTTTGTAATTTTCATTAAACAAAAAGATACGGATCTCAACCATTCAATTTTATCGGTATTATTCAGATGGATCGTGTTTCAAATTTCCAGGACCTACTCAACTTATTATGCATCAGCTGATTTAAGAAAAATGTTCATGTTTCCTGCACGTGTTGGAATTGAGCTATATATATATATATAACATGATTATAATTTGTATCGTATTCATCAGCTGTGCTGTCAACGTTCGTTTTTCGTACCGGTCTGCTGGAGTTTTTAAGATTTTTAGGCTAATGGCTACTAGGTTTACAGGAAGATATATAGGGATATGACTATAAACCTTTGGTTGTCGTTACCCTGTGTTTGTTTGACCGTCAAGATGTTAGAGATATGTAGGATTCTTAGCAAATTAAAAATAAGTCC